GTTCGACTTATGATGAAAAGAGACAGAAGATTTAAAGATGTGAGAAATATAATAACTAAATCTCGTCTGGATAATACATATAAAATTACATTTTAACTCTTTAAAAACAAAAAAAAAAAAGCAATCAAAATATCTATTAGACATCGCACAAAGTTTGGCCCATCTTTCGGTGGACAGAGCCCACATAGCCCACTGTGTAGCTTTGCCCTAAACAATAAAAACAAAAAGTTTGACTCAACGGTTGGTTCTACCTATGTGCAACTATATAACAAAATAAAATAACCTTACAGTTTTACAGTTAATTGAAAAAGAAGAAAAAAGAGCAGTTATAATATCTCTAAGAACTTAATTAGCTGTACTCATATAAGCTTTCAGACATCTTGAATAGCTGTGATACCTCTAGTGTTGAATAGCCTCATCACAAAAACTGCCCTTACAAAGTTTTTAAACTATTTGACTAATACTAGTTATTGTCGGCTCTATGATCAGATATAATTGTTTGGTACAACATAATAGCGTATAGTTAGTTACACCTAATTTAATCCAAACATTCCGTGGCACTGAATAAATTGATTTAGAATTATTTCTTATTATTACTTTGGATCTACATCTACGATAACTTGCCAAATTCATAATACTAGCGTTTCTTTCCTGTGCATGATGATCAAGCAAATTCCATTAAAAAACAATAAAGATATTTTATTGCCCATTACAGTCCTGGCCAAATCTGGAAGAACTATTCAAGATATACTCGGTTGTGATTAATGACAACATGAGTCATCATATGATGACACAGTTACCAGACACTGTTCTAATGTCCGTACAGAATATTCTCTATAATCACGAAACACCTAAAGAGAAGAATCATGAAATGGTAGGACGTATTTTGCTTCTGTTTTCTTTTAGATTTTAGCAGTTTCTGACTGGACGTTATTGAACATGTTTATGCACTTATCAAATATAAAATTTTCTATCAAACTCATTACGATTTATAAAGGCAAATACAACATCACATATTGAATATTAAAAGTGATCGGAGTTTATTAAATGTCAAATCATCAGTTAAACGACTGATACATTCTTAACCTTTTTGTCTCTCTAGGAAACGCCATATCTTGTTAGTAAAAAAAAAAAAAAACTGGTACAATTTTGAATAACGGAAAAATAACAGTATTATTAATAATTATGGAAACGCAGAGTTGCACAATATACAAAAGTCATAAATATTGAGTAACTGCAACTAAGTGTTCAACTCATCATCAGTACAATACATTGTTAAAGAAAATACAAACATGTACAATGCACTAGTATTTTGTATTTCTCTGTTCTGGGTTTGTACGCAGTCGTTATGCGCGACCTGGGAGGGTCAGGTTGTCAGCCGACCCATTTCACCCTCCATGACTATTATTAAGAAACTGTCAAATGCTATAGTTATTATTCGTGAAATCAGGTTTAAACGCGAATATTATGTATTCGACTGAGCTTTATCGGTATTTGGTCGTTGTGCGCGACCTCGGAGGGTCAGGTTCACTTCGGACCTCTTCCTTCCTCCTTTACTGTTGTTGATGAACTTCAAAATGCTATATGTTTATTCAAGAAATCACTGAACACTGGTGTAAAAGACTACATTGATTTTACTTCCCTAATTCAGGACCATGTCCATGAGTAGACTGCTATAACATTTCTCTTTATTTGGTTGTATATACTAGCAAACAGTTCCATAACAAAACGTCACTTTTCACTAGAAATAATTATCAGTTCGCGTATTTCACACACACACATATATATAATCTTTTAAATACACAAATTATACTTAATTCTAAGCGATATGTTAATGTATTTTATATTTGCTGCTGCTGCAGTGTTGGGATTTAAATCTTATAGACCTTGGAGGGTCAGGTGCTAGTAGGTAAACCTCTTCCTCCGTTAGGTCTTGACCACCAGGGAGGGTCAGGTCCTAAGTAGACTTCTTCCACCCTCCTAAACTGTTGTTGTTTGATGAAAACTATTTTCTGTTTTTTAGTTAGCTGGTTTGTCTTTTGTATTTGCTTCAAACAGTTTGTTTTGCTGAATTTCGAGACCTATCTGTGCTAGCCGCCCCTAATTTTGAAGTGGTAGCTGTGTTTCGGCTCAGTAAACTGCAGACGTAGCAGTTCTGTTCAGTTTTTTAACTGTGTTTCAGAGCTGGAGCAAGAAGATGTAGCCAGGTTCACCAAAGTACTCCGGAACCTGGAGCGAAAACTGCTCCAGTCTTTCCTATCCTTCCTGTAATTTTTGTGATATATTTTGTATAACTTGTATTAACAACATAACTATAAAGGTATACACACTAAGCATTAATACGTGTTTTCAGACTTATTTAATGTACTTTTACTGATATTTTAACGAGCAAGGAGAATATACAGTATAAATAATAAATATTTCACCAGTTGAAAAATCTGTTTATACAGTTAATCAATAAAAACAAAAATATCGTACAGGCTTTCATAAAATTTCACTTCTAGCGTATTAAACCTTATTGCATAGAAAATCCTTTTTAAATAAATGAGTTGTATGATTTTAATTACTACCTTAAGAATTAATGCTTATACAAATTTCATCATACTGTTTTCTTTGGCAGCTAACATAATACTAATTGACAACGCGAATACATTTTCTAAACGTAATGAACCAGATTTAATCTCCCAATAACATATGAAAGAAGGAACTATACCAAGCACAACAGCAAAAAACATGCTTGTATCCCTGTAATAATGTTAAACTTAAAAATTATATGAGAGTGATTCCACCAACGGGGTGTTTCAATGTCGGGGCTCATGTTTTCCGGCACACATCGCTTCAGTCTACATTAAATCTTCCGATGTACCACAACAACAATCTATAGCTCTGGAATAAAGTTCTCAATACTTGAAATGCAGGTTTTTCGTCAAATATTCTCCACAGTACTAACCACTTGTTTCTCGTGACACGTATGATGTAGGGGCACTACGCTTCTCATCCCCCAATAGTTGACTTTCATTTTGGAACCACTTTACCATCCATCCTTGGAAGGAGGTCCTCAGTTACACCCTGGTGTTATTCTGAATATGTAACTTCAGAATTTATACCACTTTCGATAACAATGAAGTCGATCATCTACAAAAGTGCCATGTTGTTAGAATCACACACACAAACAACAAAAAACGGTGAGATTAACAAACTAAAATAAAGAAAGAGGACACTCAGTCGCGCGAGCTTTACAAGTCCTCACGAAATGTTCACGCTTCAGCACAAAGGTCACGTAATGAAGAAACCTGGGATACCTCCCAAAACATTTCACTTTCATTTTCCTAAAATCATTCGTTTCGGATATGGAGCATTTCTCAACTCCCCGGGGGGTGTACTATCATTATAACTCAGGGCATTGACTTTTGCTCTGTCATTATCCTTTGACCTATTTTAATCTAAACCTACCCGGCTGGTGCCTATACGGGATTTAACCAAATCTGGTTAAATTAATCAAAGATTCTTTATACGCATCGAGAAACTTGTAGGAAACGCTTTGGCGTTTTTTTTTGTTTTTTTTTTCATAAACTGAATTAACGAACATGCAGGGCTAAAAACATTAACTGGAAACCATAACGTATTGCGTGGGCAGTTTATCTATTTTTTTACTATTACGTTGACGCTTTGTGACTAACTGGCTAATTGGTTACATATAGACTCTATTAAAAACAACCCATTAGGGAGATTTTCTGTGTTATGACATCCAAATCTCAAAAACATGTTGGCAAATATGTATTTTTTATTATTTATTTAAAACTAGGCTGTGTCAACACCTGATTGGACAACTAGATCCGCTCACGTATCACGTGACCAAAGAGACTAATATCACTACAATATTATGTAGCAATCTAGCAACTTTGATACAAGGTTTCGATAAGCACTTCTTATTTGTAATATACTCTTTCCAACATCTCACCAGTTCCAGTTTTTATATAACGGATAGCTACTGTTACATATATTATCGTTATTCGTGCATATTTCCATACAATAATCATTAGATTCCAGACACGTTCAACTTGTGTCAAAACAAACAAAAGACCAACTGGAATAGTGCAAATTTATGCTAATATCACAAGCTACTCATATATCAAATTATTTTCTACATTGTGGAAAAGATTTATATATTTCACAACACAAACTCAGACTTGTATGAACTATAAACACACATTTTCAGTCTTCTAAAAGATTTGTTTTGTTATCCCACGGTGCCGGCGTTGTTTTTAAAAGTTTAGAGAAACGACCGTTACCCTCCAGATAAATATAAACAAAATATATTTTTATTTCAACCAACGTTTCGCCTTTGCGGCTTCATCAGGGTTAATATACACAACGGTTTGATATTAGAATATTCGTTAAATGATAAAACTGCTTGTAACGTTCTATTTCTCGAGTCTGTCGTAACGCGCGTCTAACAGTGTATAAAATATTATTATTGTACTAACATTATAGTATAGTTATAATATTAACTATATAGCTAGCTATACAAACATATGACATATATTAATTAAATAAAATATAAAAACTAAAATAAAGAGAACCATAGTATGTTTTATGATTAACTGAAAACACAGAGACAGAAAATACAAGCTGCTAAGAAACGATAATAAGTGGAAAGGATACAAAGCTTACTAGCAGTGTTAAAAACAAACTGTAAGACTGTGTGATACTCCATAGCACACAACTGTTAAACTGAAAGTAATAGTGTTAAGTGTACTGGTATAATCAGAGCTGTATTATGCACTAGGCACAGTGCCTAGGGCTTACGAAAAGTATATTTCAAATCATTTAAGAAATTTAAATATTATAAAATTATAAAAAAATTAGCATATAAAATATAAAATAGAATTATATTTTATTTTAAAAGAAGAAAACGAAACAATAAAAGAAGGTTTTTCAAACATTAAACAAAATTGCTCACATACAATATATTAAAAATATATATTAAAAATGTTAACACTGAGCCTTGCTGTTTTCGTATCTCTTCTTCCATGGACCCTCTTTTCTTTCTTTTGGCATGCCCAGATTCATGTTTTCTTCAATAACCATCCGACATGTTTCAGCTATTTACCTGCAAGAAGAAGAATGGAATATGATATATATATATATAAGTAACTGAATGTTGGTTGAGGGTCCAATATCCTGAAGGTGCCTAGGGCCTACAAAGGCTTTAATCCGGCCCTGGGTATAATGTGTTGTTTTATGAATGGTGGTTTAATTACATGTACCACCCATTGTCTCTGTTCATTTTGGATTTTTTTTTTCGTTAATGAATATAGCATCCATATATTTTATTTCTTTAATTTTTTTTTTCAACTTGTGTTGTAGCCTTTCAAACACCAGAACTGTAAAGTTCTATTGTTTCAGCAAAGGTATTGTAGGAATAGCTTGAACACAAATTGGCTTGATCTAAAAATCAACCATTATATTTTCTTCAATGAGTTTTTCTTTATAATTGTAGAACATTTCACAGAAAAAAAGTAACATTTTTCATTTCGTACCGAGCTGATAGATCAACAAAAAATCATATACGTTCGTTTTCAAAACTAAAATAATGAATAACATCCAAAACGAATTTTATATATAAAGTATATGTTTTAAGGCTTCTGATAAGTTTGTTTTTCTACAACTACTTCTATATTCCTGATCTTCTTGTCCATATTTCACAAGGAATATATGAACGTAACCAACCAACCTTTGATACGTCATACTCGAATAGATTTACATATAATATTGTAAGCTAAACTAAGGAATCATCAACTAGCACAATATATGTTAATTATAGCTAAATATTGTTCTGTGATAGAATGTTGTATTGGACTGAACCGTTGAATTATTTATTGTATTGTGTTCTTCTGGAGTAACTGAATATTAACATTTAAAATGAATAAATAACATGGAACTTCGTGGTAAGGAAGAAAGTATTTTTCAAAGGAATTTTGTAATGTTTGCCATATATTACTCAACAAAAACACTTTCCATTGGCTCTTCACAAAACAAACTGTTATAAAGAAAAAAATCAGTTTTTGAATTGCAACAAATCAACAATCTACTCTTTGGGTTTCAGTCCAACTGATACTACATTCAAATCAGTTATATATATATAAGATAATGAGATCCTAAATGCTCATGCATTTCTACATAATTTTTATTTTAGATTAATTTAGGCCTAAATTCAAATGAATGAGCATGCCAAGTACCGTATGGGTTTGACTTTTCCATTTTAATGATTACAAAATTAAAAAAAAAATCATAAAATTTAACGCGAATAAATGACTTCGACTTTTTTATTGTTTTGAGCAAAAGTGACAATACCGAAAGGTGCTTTAGAATATCTAATACCTGTTTTATGATACCTATAAAAATAACTTAAGATTTGATAACAGATATATAACCCTACAAACAAATGCAGGTTTCCTTCTCTCTCTTGTAGGCCATATTTTGTTGCACCTGGGACAACACTGAAACGATAATGCAGGCTTCCTTCCCACTTGTAGCCAGATACTGTTGCACCTGGGACACACACTATACTGAAACGATCCGAATGAAACGTCAATTTTGTGAAAACTGTACTCTGAATGGCCAATGTTCTTTGTGTCGTGCCATTTAGTCGCTGAACACGGTTATGACCAAACTGCCCGCTTGTGGAGGTCACAGTAAAGGCATCAGTTTGGTAACTTGACCCACCTGAAGCTTTGTTTGAACGTCACAGCTGTGTCCCAAACGTCGAAAACAAACTCAACACTGAAAGAACCCTAGCTAAATAGACAGTATCTCTTTCAGACTATGGAAAGGAAACCACAAAAGCCTGTTAAACGATGGCAAGGTTACACGTGCAACAGTCATTAAGTCAACCACGTGTTCTTTTCATCGGACAGCTAGTCTTTAAACCTAATACCCTATAATCAAAATAAAGTATTAATACCACCTAGGTATCCGAATATGATATTAAATGTATTCTTTTATTATATTAGTGGCAGAGAAAAAAAACAAAATAATATTTGTGCTGCGCTGTGTGTTGAAAATTTTAACTATAAAGTGAAGTTATAGATATAATAAACAAAAAAAACATTAGCAATTGTAAAATTTTGATTTCTTAGTTAAATCATTTTAAGAATATTAGTCACTATACTCACAAACAATACTTAAATTTGTTTCATACCTTACTTTTATTCCAATAATAAAGGTGTATGTATAATTAATGATATATTAACATATAAAATTTTCTGGTTTATAACTGTGTGTTACTTAACGGCAGAAACACTTATCCAAAGAGATTTAATATGACATTAAAATATAATGTTTCTTTAAAAGAAAAAGAAATAATAAACAAGCTCAATTCTGCAGGACTAGGAAACAGCAAAGTCAGAAAGGTTAAACAGGAATATTTGACCATTTCTGGACATGATTCCCCTCTAATCCTTCAGAAATGTCGGAAGGAGGAAAAGTTGTCAAAGCGTGCTTTCAAGAATTACTGTTAATTATCTTTAATGGGATTAAAAACTGATGATTGAGCAGGCTAGAATATATGATTGAAGGCTTCATTTTGCATGGTAGGCCTGTTTTACACGAAGTTTCACTGATATTATTGCTCTGGTATTTAAGTAAAATTGAACAATACACCGTGTTACGACAGCAGAAGTCACGCGACGCAGGGAGCATGCGCGCTGGCGTTTCTAGAAAATCATGACTTATCGAGGAACCTCGCGAATGTCTGAGTGTTTGCCAGGCGCTCTCTTTTTTAGTACATAAAGTACGGAAAATAAAGCCAGCGATAGATAGATATGCAGATAGATTGAAGATATAGATCATTGAGTCAAGCGAACAGTAGGCACCGTAAGTAAAGTGTGTGTGAATCACTGTGAGTTATAGCGTGTGTTATAAAGGTTGTTAAGTTTAAAGTGACTGTGGAAATTCTGTGTATTACTAAAATTTGTATCAAGAAAGAATAAACAGTTTTAATTAAGAAAGGACTTGTATCGCCGAAGTTCCCCGGAAATTAACAAACGAGCAGATACGCAACAACCGATTAACCTGTTTATTAGGGCCTTCTATCTGATATCATGAACCTGTTTATTGGTGCTAAGTCGGCATTGCATAAGGTGCTGAAAAATGTCATTTTCGATCTGTTGGTCGAGGAGCATTGTTCATAATACTTTCACAATACTGCTAGAAGACTACGGTGGTAAAGGAGCTCGAATCGCAACCCGTGGGTAGCTGGATCGACACTCGTCGTCGAATATGATCGCCCTTTCAGCCGTGTGGGTTTATAATGTAATGTTCAATCCTACTCGTTGGTAAAACAGTAGCCCAAGAAGTGGCAGTGTGTGGTATTGACTAGTTGCCTTCCCTCTAGTTCATCGTTTCAAAATTAGAAACGGGTAACGCATATAGTCTACATCAAACAAACAAACTAGATGGTGAATGTTGTGTTTAAGTTTCGTCCCCAAGATACACAATTGGGTTGAGATTTTACGCCAAAGATCGTCATTCCCCTTTAATAAATTTTTGACTAATCGAGCAGGGCGGATTGTTGTCTTGAAAGATTCTCTGTCCATCAGGATGGAAGTGGGGTGGATATGACTGGCTGGCAGCAATATTCAGGTATATACTCTGTCACGGGAACATTACCCACATCCTTACTTCACCTACAGCAGTTTACACTGTCAGAACAAACTTGTTATTGCTATTCCACCGTTAGTACAAAAACTGGTAAAATGCGACATTTAATTCTTCCCGAAATTCATTGTCCAGGGTTTGCTCCCAGCACCATTTAACCTGTGAATTCCCATTTGCATCTGAAATGAGCAATTTTATGATTAATTATCGACTATCATTGGACAGTATTTATAAAGACCTTCGCATAGTATGGTTGAACTGACCATTCTTGAAGGAATCAGTTATGTCTGTTATACTTTACAACAGCGTCCAGTCATATTTTCTCTAAGTCAGTTTCCTGCCACTGTTGACCACAGTCGTTCCTAATAGTAGACATATTCCATTTTGATTTTCCTGCTTGATAGACTCCGATGACAGGATTCTTCGAACTGCTAGTAAAATTAATAGCCTTCGGCAAGTATGAGGACTTATAAAGCTAAAAATCATGTTTTGGTATTTGCGGTGGGCAGAGCACAGATAGCCCATTATGAGCCACCGGGAGTCAAGTTACTAGTAATAATGTGATTGGAAATACATTATGAAACATCATTATTAGCACATAATATTCATTGTACTAAGAATGCATGCAGGAAAAACAAAAGAACAATTAGATGGTTCAAAAATTCAGTGGATGAATTCACGAATGAAAGTCTAACTTCCGAAAACAAGTTAACATAATATCAGATGTTTTTCTGTGCATGGATAGATGTCTATCTACCATATATATCAACGCATATATCTAGCGGGATAGCCATAAACGTTCTAAAGCACAATTCTATTTATAGCAAAGTTATTAAGGCTATCTATCGCCGTCCTTAATTTTGCACTACTAATCAGAGGTAAGACAGGCAGTCAACCCTACTACCTACCATTCATGCTAAAGGACTATAACTGTCACTCTTATAACACACGCACAGCTTTAAATGTGGGGAGTAGTTTTGTGACATCGTACGGGTAGGCAGATACGAAATTCAGAACTTTAACACATAGCCAACCTGCGACTCTAAACAGATAACTAAGATGATGAAACACAAGATTAATTTGTTTTGTTTTTTCAGTGTAATATCTGTTGATAAGCTAGAACTGTCTCATGGTAAAATAGAGAAGAAATGTTTATTATCAATATCTTATGCACACAGAGAGCTTTAACTTTTAAGATATGTAAACAATATTCTTAAAAAATAACAACTTATTATGTGGAAGTCTAGAAGAGCCGGTTGTATATTTTACTATTTCTGAACTCGTATGTAGGGCAAAAACAAGCTTAACTTTAGTAAAATATCTTTCAAAATGAAAACGAAAATCAGGTAGCATCGAATTGGCTGCAGGTTAAACGTAGCGGGAGATCCGATCTTGGGGACTTAGTAACTTACATAGATTTCTTTCTCCTAATACAGAAAGAAGTAAACAAAATATAAAAGTAATTCTTGGATGATAATATATAACTACTAATACATAATTACTAATAAATAACTACTAATACATAATTATTAATATATATAACTACTAATACATAATTACTAATATATAACTACTCAGTAAAATCATATCCTTTCTGACGTCTGCCAGCCAGTTGTAAAGATTACACGTGGTTAGAATAACCTGTAGCTTTTCGCTCATTCATCAGCACGTTACCTAATTGTAGTATCACCGTTCAATCATAATACGTAAACTGTTGTAAAGCTGCTTATCTTTTGTTAAAGATTAGTAGACAACGTAATAAACACATCCTTCACAGAAGACTGTTTTGTGTATAAGCTCTTATCATTTGCAAGAATATAATCTGAACACACGGAAAAACTACTTTCAAAAGTTCACAAGAAAAACTTGTTTTGGTGTATTTCACAGAGTTAAAACATAGTTACATAAGTGTCCCTCAGAAAGCATAGTAACACATTGTAAAAATAAACTTGAATAACTGTCCCTCGCAGGGTGTATTAACACTAACACCGTGTAATAACATGCTTACATAAATGTTCCTAACAGTGCATACTAATACTATAAAACATACTTAAATAGATGTTTTTAAGGCGTACTAATACCGTGTTAAAAACATACTCGCATAAGTGTTTATAAAGCGCAATGGTTATGTGTAAAAAATAAATAACAAGTTACAGCGGTGTTTCTCAAAGTGAACTATTAGGCCTGTTGTTGTGTACTCTGGACAAAAATACATTACCATATGTGGAATTACTGTCTTGTAGTACACATAGTGCAAGATATGTGGCACAAAATTACTCTGTCTCGTGGTGTGCCACATATCTTGCACTATGTGTAAAATTACTCTGTCTCGTGGTGTGCCACATATCTTGCACTATGTGTAAAATACTCTGTCTCGTGGTGTGCCACATATCGTGCACTATGTGTAAAAGTACTCTGTCTCGTGGTGTGCCACATATCGTGCACTATGTGTAAAAGTACTCTGTCTCGTGGTGTGCCACATATCGTGCACTATGTGTAAAATTAGTCTGTCTCGTGGTGTGTCACATATCCTGCACTATGTGTCAAAGTACTCTGTCTCGTGGTGTGCCACATATCGTGCACTATGTGTAAGATTAGTCTGTCTCGTGGTGTGCCACATATCCTGCACTATGTGTGAAATTACTCTGTCTCGTGGTGTGCCGTTTTGTTGAGTCAGAGTAATTGTGGTTTGTTTAACATTCTGTATTATGCATACCTCTAACCCTAACGCTGCCCCAGTACTAGCGGATATAGGCGTATCTTGGAGCAAGTACTGAGAGGGGTGGGGGGGGGGGGGCAAGTTGAGTAATCACAATGCTCTCAAGTTAGAACTTAATATCTACAGGTGTGAGATGCCGCCCTTGGAAATTGTGAGCCAAAAGTGTTATTAAAAACATTGATTCTGCATATATGTAAAAATGGAAAATCTTAGGAGGGCAGAAACTAGTTTTGGAGGGGAACATATCCGCCTATGCTAGTGGATACTACTCACATACAGGAAGACTAAAACCAAAGCATCTTTTCTGCTAACTCTAGACGTTAATAGACAGCAATTATAAAAACCGAAACACCGTTTCGTTTTCTTTCAACAGGCAGTTCCAGTCCATTAACGTTCTCAAACCTACTGTGTCTATTCTGCCTAAAGTTCT